CATTGTGATACACTGGTAATTGGCACATACTTTCTGGTCCCCTTTATTAAAAATAGGGACCACCGTCCCAGCCAGCCAGTCGAAGGGAACTGTTTCCAAGGTCCATGTGACATACACCTAACGTATACAGAAGCGTGTCAGCCATGACAGCCCCACAAAATCCAGAGCCTTAAGCAATTCTGGGCGAATCTCATCCACCCTTGGTGCCTTGCCAACTATCTCAGTGGCCTCTACCAGGGAAATGGAGTGACACCCCAGAAACCTCTGGCCTTGACTCCCATGAGGAAGGTATGTCTCTTGCGTTTAGAAGTTCCACCAACCAACAATATCCTCATTTGAAATCAGAGTTTCTCTGCCTTTGCTGAGTGTTCACTAGTGGGTTCTTGGGTTGCCACTCTGAGAAGCACCAACAAGCTTTTGGTCACAGCTACACCTGGCAGCTTCCACAATGGAGGTTTTGAAAAGGGTCCATTCAGACTCCATGTCCTCTACCTCCTTCGGGAGTTAAAATCATTCTGGACAGGGGCCTCTGCCAGTCGTTCCCAGCACACCCTCACTGTTCACTTGGGTCTAACAGGTCTGACTGCCAGTCATTCCCTGCCATCTGATCCAACTCACCACCAGATGGTGATCAGTTGACAGCTCAGCACTTCTCTTCACCCGAACATGTCCAGTCCAGATCATGTAGTCCCAATGAGATGAAACAACATCAACAGGTCGATCATTGACCTTTGACCCAAGGAGCTCTTGTGTCAAGTACACTTGTGAACATCCTTGTGTTCAAACTTTGTGTTTTGTGTTTTCTCCTTAAATGATGGGATATAAGTTTTAACTGAGTTGAAAGAATTTTCTCTAAGGTCTTCATATCTGTTACATGAGGAAAGAAAGTATTACTCGCTTTCGATTGATCAACTCTCTCTCTCTCTCTCTCTTTCTTAGGATGATCTCCTCCATGTATTGTAGAATCCAAAACAATCCCTTCTGTCAGTCCCCCCCAAAATCTCCTCATTTCTCTGAGGAACCTTTTCCAATATTGTTTGTGTTCTTTACCTTATGTGTTTACACACTCCTCTCAGATTAGAGTGAGGATCCTTCAGCAGTGCAGTCTCACACTCCTCACTTGGCTCACACACACTGGTGACTGAACAGCCAGCAAAAATGGAGAATGGAAGATGCTATTTTTTACAGTCTGTATTCTGTCCCTGAAGTCAGGAAATGATTAAAATAAATATGAAGTAATAATAGATTCATTATTATTATTATTATTATTATTATTATTATTAAGTCTATTTGAGATGACTTAGCTACTCAATACAGTTTGATGCAAGTATATGATGATTTGGGCATGCAATTAGTACAGTGCTAATTGGTGGGGTGTAAGCGTCCATTCCTTGTAGTATGAAAAATAAAGAACTAAACTTCAGACACCAAACCTGTCTTGGCTGATTAGCAACATTTGGCATAAGGAGGAAAACTAGGAGAATTTGATTATTTGCTGAAATATTTCTTTAACCTCAGCTCACTGCTCACATACTGGTCATTCTCAACTGCAGCTATTTACCATTTACATCATATCACATTTCATACTTCTCACTGTCAGCAAATGAGCTGTCCAGTGTGTTTATTTAGTAATTCAATTAAAAATGCAAGTTGTAATGTAAAGTTAGTGTATAGCAAATAGCAATTAGAAGTCTAGAGTAATTCACATAATACATGCCTCTATTAAAAAGGATCTGGTTTCCTGCACAAATAAGAAAGAAATGTATGGAGAAAATTAAAGAAAGAGTGACACACACACACATGCACACACATGCTCATATAGTCTCAAGTGGACTTAATCAGTAGCACCAGGCCACAGTTCTCTCCCTCTGTCTCCTAAACATACTTTTGCTGGATCTGATTCCTGCAGACTAAATGCTGGCTGTGCTTAACTCAGCCTGATATTAATAACTCCTTGGAGTTCTCTTAAATGCTTTTAGACACACACAAACCAAAATCCAACTAAAACAGAACCCCATAACTCCACATCTGCACAATTTCACAATTCTGAACTTAACCACTACGAAACTCCTGAACTGCACAAATCTAGGCCCTACAGAGAGCTCGACAACTCCACAACCAGAACTCCAGAAGCCCAGGACTTCACAGCTTCACAACTTTATGAGTCCAAAACCCCAAAGAAACCCAGTACTCCAGAACTCCACCATTCCAAATTTACAGAACTGCACAAATCCTGAATCTCAGAAAGAGCTCATTAGTCCAGAACTCCACCACTCTGGAACTCCAGAAATGCCCAGTGAAAGCTCCTTAACTCCACAACCTCAGAACTCCAGAACCACAAAACTCTACAACTTTAGAATCCTAGAAATCCACAACCTCAAAACACTACAATTCCACAACCTCACAACTCCTGATCCCTGTATCTCCACAACTCTAGAACCCTATACCTTTACAAGTCCTCAACTCCAGAACTTCTGAATCGCAGAATTCCATAATTCCACAAAGTCACAACTTCACAACAGTGCTTCACATCCCCAGACCTTCACAAATCCAGAACTATATCTGCAGACCTGTTGATGCTATTATTTACTGCGTACAAGGCTTAATCATTTATCTATATTCTTTAATTTTCTCTGTTCTCTCCCATTTTCTGAGATGTTCTAACGCCTGCTGGTGCAGCAGGATTTCCAATGAGACACATAACTGTCTTCAGAATCTCTAACTGCCATTGCTTCTCCTGTCTGGTTTGATTGGGTGCACCTGCTTGCTTGCCCTCTGGCCAGTTAGACCACTATGGAGTCTCCTGCATGTGCGTGTGACCGATGCCAAAAGCCTCACCTGCATGCCCCTTCAACCTCCTCTTAAGACTGAAAACCTTGGCTGGATGACATGGCGACTAGTGAATGGCCCATTATGTCTTTCACTTCCCTGGACTGCTGGGCTGGTGTTGGCTGATCCTGGCATGAACTTTTACTTAAACAACTCATTCATAAACATTGTACGCCTATCTCACAATATGCTGACCTTCTTACCTGTTCATACTTATATGTTCTCATTATGGCAGCCATAAATTATATTTTCATTGTCATTCTTTTACATTGTTATTGTTTTCAGAGTTTTTCCTTGTCACTATCACCCTTGACTTGCTCACTGGGGGCTTGGACCTGGAATTCTGTGAAGTTGCTTCATGACAAAAAGCGCTGTGGAAATAAATAATTGAATTAAATAGAATCCCGAACTGTGGACTGTGGAGCTGTGGAATTACGTTAAATTCATAGCAAAACACACATGACAACATCATTAGAATTTCTTGGAAAATAATGATAAACAAAACATCGTCCATGGAAGTAAGTCGAGCTGTGTGACTTTGCATTTTCAACATGATGACATTGAGCACATCAGAGAATGTCACAGAATGTGAGTCCAAAGTCAGAGTCCACAGAGAGTCCACAGGTCCAGAGTCCAGAGATTTAGGGCATTAAGCAAAGAGATGACCATTTTCCCTTGTAAGTGGATCAACTATTAGAACATAAATCGTCACTGCCACTGCAGCCATGTGTTGCTTCGGCACCTCTCATTTCCATGGTAACCACATAAACTTTTATTTAAAAAGTTGTTTAAAAAAATTGTGTTGTTCTCTAAAACCTTTGGTGTTACAGAAATGACAAGGGATTTGAGGACATCAGCATTTAGTGGTAAAAAAAACACATAAAACTGAAATAAGTTTGCTACATTATTGTGCAGAAGTTTCATGAATGTCTTTAATGTCTTTAATTTGTCTTTAATGAGACAAAAGGGGTTTACAGCATTTATTACCTAACCCTGAAAAATAATAATATAATTGTAAGATTATGAAAAAGATAGAAATTGCCAATATTTGGTGGTTTTAAGTTGCCTAAATTTGATCTGAACCAACCTGAATATTCAGTTGTTGTTTATTATTTTTTCTTCAAAAATATATATTTTTAAAACTCACCCATGGGATCACAAATCTTATTCTACAGGTCATTTCAAATTAAAAGGGCAATCAGAATAAATGGTTGCACCAGAAAGAGGGAGAGGGAGAGAGAGAGAGAGAGAGAGAGGGAGAAAAGATGACATGCACGTGCTGATGAGACAGAAAAAATCATTATTATTACTGAATTATTTTATCTTAATGACGTCTCCACTTCAATTAATTTTACATTTTTCTTTCTAGAATCTCTATTAGGAACACAATCTGAGTACCACACCAACAGGAACCAGTGGATAGAAGAGAGAGAGAGAGAGAGAGAGAGAGAGAGAGAGGGAGAGAGAGAATATTTAGCTTTCCTCTCTCTCTCTCTCTCTCTCTCTCTATATATATATATATATGTATAAATATATATACATATATCTTTAGCCTCTCTGTCTACCACTCTCTCTCCTTTAGTGTTCTCTCTCTCCCTCTCCCTTGAGCTTTCCCTTTTCACTCTTCACCCCTTTCTCTCTTTCCCTCTATTTCTTTAGCTTTCACATCTCCCTCTTTAGCTCCCTGCTTTCTCTCCCTCTCCCTTTCTTTCTTTCCATCTTTATTTCTTTTTTCTTACCCCATCTTTTTCTTCCTTTCTTTCCCTTCCTTCCTCTTTATCGTTATCTTTGACTGGCTTTCCCCTTTCTCTCTCTAGCTTTCCCATCTCCCTCTTTCTCTTTCTTTATCTCCCCTATTTTCTCTGTCCCACTCTTTCTCTATTTCTTTAGCTTTCCCATCTCTCTCTCTCTCTCTCTCTCTCTCTCTCTCTCTCTGTCTGTCTGTCTGTCTGTCTGTCTCTCTCTCTCTCTCTCACTTTCTCGCCCCTCGCCACCCCCCCGCCTCATCTCTCCAGTCATTTCCAGCCAATGATCGGTAGGTGTGCGCATCCCAGCGTCCCCAGCGCAGCGCCAATCAGCCACACACAGCGCTGGAACACACACGCACACACACACGGACACGGACACCCGCGCGCGCACAAACACCCTCTTTCACACATCCACGCGCTCACACACGCACACACACACTCTCTCACACACAAACACACACACACCCCGGACCAGGAAACAGCAGCTAGCTCCCTGTGCTCCGTGTCTGCTCGCGCGCTAGCTGCTCGGCTGGTCGCGTGTGGTTTTCTGTATGTGTTTATTGTTTTTTTTTGTTTTTGTTTTTTATCTCTCGTGACTGGCGGAAGTGTGAAATTAGTGAAAATGCGGGTTTTGTAGTGAGCCGCTGGTTTGGATTCTCAGAGGGAATCGAGGGGAGGTAGGTGATGCTCCTCTTCTTCTTTTTCTTCTTCCATTTTTTCTTTCTTAGTCTTAGCGTGAAAGCTGCAGCCTTTTCTCTCCATCTGTCTGTCTCTCTTTCTCTCTCTCTGTCTGTGTCCTGGGTTTTAGACCAGAGTTGTGACGCTAAAATCTCTCAGTGTTTCTGACCTTTTGCTCTTCTTGCTCCGAATACTGGCTAGGCGAAAGCTCTTGGGGTTGTTGGGATGCTTGGAGCAGTCCTCGGGTGGGCTGTATCTCTTCTCGTGCCCCCCGACAGTTAGCCAATATCGTGCTGTTGCTGTAAAGTTTGATAATCGATAGCCCGGACTGGAGCATTTGGTTCATTGAGCTGTGTTGATAATGATAAAGTGATAAACAAACCGAGAAAAGTCTAACAGTTAACATACATAGGTTAACATAAGTTAGGTGTATTATTAGCATGATATTCTTACTGTTTTATTGGTTTAGTTTGGAATGGTGGCATGTTTTGCATTCACATTGCAAGTTATAGTTTGGAAATTGTATATGCATGTGTCAAATAAAGTGTTTCTTAGAGAAAATGTATAGAAAAAAGTATCAGGCATGCTTAACTGTTTAATTCCAGATAATTTTCCATTTAAATTGTAATTTATCATCATTTATTTCTGTCTTGCATGTGCTTTAGTGTTCAGTGTGAGCTCCAAAGGCCACCCAGTCTCTTTCTCCACTGTGCCTTTTTATTTCTGATTCATTTCTGAGCCTGAGAATTTGAAGTGATTTTTTTTTTGTACGCAATGGACGGACGGCTTTCGGGGTAATTAAACAGAGGAGAGGCCAGAGGAAAGGTAATGTAAGGAGAGGGGGGAGATGGAGATGTGTCTAATGGGCTTTTATCTGTGGAAACGAAACCCAGACGGAGTGAGAGAGAGAGGGAGAGAGAGGGAGAGAGAGAGAGAGAGAAAGCGAGGAAATGGACACCCCCCCCCACCTCCTCCCTCCAGGCAGCTGACACTACAGTTGTCAAGGTCTAAGACTTGGCTTGCGTTCGGCTGTCTTTGTGTCATTGGTTGAATGTGAAACAGCAGACAATGCATAACCAGAATTCACACAACTTCATCATCTTTACAGCTTTATTTTATGCTTAGATCTACTTTAACTATATGTTGGTCCATCTGGGTTATGCTGGTTTATTTCTCTGCTTAAATGCTGTAAATGTAAGCTATTTTAGGGCACCTTTTAACATCTACTATCTTTTGAATTTTTTGGCTCATTTACAATTCTGTTGATATTGTTTATTAATAGGCACTGTCCCTGATAAATAAAGTAGTACAGTAAATCATAGAAATTAGGGATGAACTGATATGGGAATTCTGGGCTGATGCCGATATCATATGATAGCTGCTGATACCAATACTGATATACTGTGCATTATAAAGTGTATAAATTGTTGCTACTTGGGTGAGCGTTACAGAGAAATGTAAGATTTATTTCTGTAGGAATAGGCATGCAGTAAAATGAATAAGAAACTGATATTTTTAGCACAGTGGCCCGGCGTCACCTGAACATCATGCTCTTCCATGCTCAAGCAAGTGTTGGCTTTAAACATTGGTCAAATGAACAACTGTCTGATGGTGATCATTTTTTAAAAGCAATTATTTTCTGGTACCAATATGATTCCGATATCATTGCACATCCTTAATTATTATTATTATTATGTTATTATTAATGTATTATTGTTGTCTGATTAAGGCATCTGTGTTTGCTGTGTTGTGTTTGGTATATTTAAGTATAAGCTGTTTTAGGATGCCTTTTAACATTTGGTCTGATGAAAATTAGAGTTCTGTTGAAACTGTTTATCGAAAGGCACTGTCCTTGATAAAAAAAAAAAACTTGCAGCAAATAAAATGCATATAATGGATGCTGTTTTTTTTGGCTTGATCTGTAAAAAGGCTTGTGCAGTTTTGTTCTAGTGCAAACAGGATGCTGCTCTGCTTGGGGTTTGGTAGCTTATACAATTTTGACAGGATTTGGATCTTTTGGATTGATTTGATATTGTGCTGTAATGTCAACAAAATAGTGGAGTTTTGCGGTGTATCTTTTGTTGTGTTTCTTTCTAAATGTTTTATCAAGCTTTCGGCTACTTGCAGAAAGTTTTTTTAATCTCAACGTTCAACATTTTCAGTGATGGCTGTTATTGACCACATCTGATTTTTGTTTGCTGTGATTGTATATTGGATAACAGTGCTGGAGCTTTCACATTAGGGTCAACAGATAAGGAATGGGAGAGATATCCCATAAAGGTGCAATCAGAATGAATGAATGAAAAGAAATGAAAGAATGGGAGAGATATCCCATAAAGGTGCAGTGAGAAAGAATGAATGAAAAGAAATGAATTGGCAACATGAAAGTAAAGGCCACAATGGATGCATGTGTAATTGTTGTTTTCTTGTTTTAGTACTGGAACCAGGATGGTAACTCATTGTCTCTAACCAGCTCGGTGTTGAAGAAGCCCTACCTCTAAAAATCTCCAGACATTTCTTACTGAAGTTGTGACAAAAACTGCTCTAGTCATGTCGAATTTAAACAATGCGCTTTGCATTGAGAGTGGACAGAACGCGGACGTTTCTCTTTTACAGAAGGACAGCCTCCAGGATGGTGGATTAAACCAGCTTTTGGATTATAATGCGGAAATAGAGCGGTACAGGTCTTTTGCAAACTTTTACAAAACCAACGGCGGGTTCCCACAGACTGCCAAAATCGCCCGGATCACGACGCCTATCTTCCCCAGCGCCCGGATCGGTGTGTCCCCGTGGAACTGTGACAACGCCATGCTATGGGGGAGGAAATCGGCCGCAATAAACCCCAACAGGACCGGTGTGCATCGGAACGAATCCCCGAGGCCGGGGAAGCCGGAGACGCTGCAAATGGCAAATAATAATTTCCTCTCTACCTTATCCCCGGAACACTGCCGGCCTTTAGCGGGGGAATGCATGAACAAGCTGAAATGCGGCGCCGCCGAAGCAGAGATAATGAATCTCCCTGAACGCGTCGGGACTTTTTCCGCCATCCCGGCTCTAGGGGGCATCTCATTACCTCCCGGGGTCATCGTCATGACAGCCCTTCACTCCCCCGCTGCCTCCGCCGCCGTTACAGACAGTGCGTTTCAAATTGCCAATCTGGCAGACTGCCCGCAGAATAATTCCTCCTCCTCCGCGTCCGCTGGGAACCCGGCCAAGAAGAAGAGGAAAAGGTGTGGGGTGTGCGCCCCCTGCAGGAGGCTCATCAACTGTGGCGTCTGCAGCAGCTGTCGGAACCGCAAGACCGGACACCAAATCTGCAAATTCCGCAAATGTGAAGAGCTCAAGAAAAAGCCTGGATCGTCACTGGAGGTAAAACTAACACCCCGTTCGTCCCCCACAAGCCTCTTCCCTTTTTTAGGATGTCTTGATCTGATCAGAAAGTCTGGTATCAGAGCAGACTAAGGCATATTTTAATAAATTAGTTAGTACATAATAGTATAAAATTTCCTTGTTACATATTATGTCACTGGTGCAGCTTATTAGTTTGTTGCAGACGTTAGGGGTCTTTTTCACTCTAAATATATTATTATTTATTTATGATTTTATATTATTATAGTTAAAGTACTGGAAAATATTATGATATAAATTTTTGTTCATATCGCCCAACCCTTTATAAAGCTATATTAAGCCCGATCCATCTTATTATTTGCACTGTATTTACATGTGGATAATACATGCACGAAAAGTAATGATGTGCCTTTTTCATGTTAAAGTAATGGCAGCCTAGCATATCTTAGCTAAACAGCCTGGCTTATCTTAACTGAACTTTTTTATTGTCACATTACAGACTCTACAACAATGAATTTATTTTTATGTAGCATCTTCAATGTGTGAAAAAGTACAAATGTTGGGTTGAATGTGTTATCTACAAAAATACAAATATTGAATTGTTTGTATTGCAAAAATACAAATATTGTATCGGAAATACATAATATCAGATGGGATGTGTTATCTAAGAAAATCTAAATATCAGACTGGATGCATTATGTACAAAAATACACACATCAGATCTAATGCGATATCTACCAAAATAGAAATAACACATTAGATCTGTTATATATGCATTATCTGTGAGAATACAAATAACAAATTGGAGACATTATCTACAAAAATACAAATACTGAATCAATGCATTATCTACGAAAATGCAAATATCAGATTGACTGCATTATCTGCGAAAATACACATTGGATTGTAAGTGTTATCTACGAAAATACGAACATCAGATAGGATGCGTTATTTGCGAAAATACACATTGGACCGCGAGTGTTATCTACGAAAATACGAATATCAGATGGGATGCGTTATTTGCGAAAATACACATTGGATCATAAGTGTTATCTAAGAAAATACGAACATCAGATAGGATGCATTATTTGCGAAAATACATATTGGATCATAAGTGTTATCTAGCCCTGCGATGGACTGGCGACCTGTCCAGGGTGTATCCTGCCTTCCGCCCAATGACAGCTGGGATAGGCTCCAGCACCCCACCGCGACCCAGAAGGATAAGCGGTTTAGATGATGTATGTATGTATGTATGTAAGTGTTATCTACAAAAATACGAATATCAGATAGGATGCGTTATTTGCGAAAATAATGCATCCGATCCAAAATACATATTGGATCGGATGCTGTATGTATAAAAAAATTATAAACTTGGATTCAAATATTCAATGTTAAACAAATTTGATCAGAATTGGGGTTTAAAAAAAATTGGTCTGGAAGTCTCTTAACCTTTTTTTTTTAATCAGACCTCTCCTCCCCCGAAACCCCCACCCACCCTATACACACACACACATACAGAGACACACACACTCCAGAGCATTAACCTTTCCTTCCAGTCACGTTTCTAAGCCCTTGAAAATTGTTTCCATGCCCACCCATGCCTGAACATCCCCCCGGCTTCTCCAATCTGCCTACCCGCCTAGCCTAATTGGCAGTAATTAGGGGTGTTTGTGTGGAGCGCAAGCTGAGCTTGGCTCAGACACCCCTAATTGCTGCCAGTCAGGCTGCGGCTGGAACGCATCCGAACAAACCTCGGGCTTGGCTCCAGTCCAAGCTGAGCTGGGAAATGGTTTTCAGCAGAGAGAGAGAGAGAGAGAGAGAGAAAGAGAGAGAAAGAGAGAGAGATCGTCCCTCTCTGCACTTGGTCATTTTAACCAATTATGGAAACCATCTCTGGACAGAGCCAATCGATATCCCACGAGCCCCTGCTGCAGCAAAGACGATGAGAGAGAGACAGAGAGATCAGAGAGGCCGGCCACAAAGGCACACACGCACACACACACAAAGAGAAGATTTCTTTCTTTATCTTTTACTGTACAATCTGTGAAATAACATATTATTGGAAATGTTGGCGTTCATTCATTAATTGCATTTGGTAGCTAATTCAGGGTAAAATGCTACATTAACATTTTTTTACATTTTTTCTGTTTCAAGAGCCTTTACCAGTATTTCACTAAATGTTTCATACGATTGATTACAGTGCCTCCAGGAACCCAAACTTTTGAAACTGTTTAATAATACAGCGTATCGCACATCATATTGTATCACCTTTTACTGAAGTGTATGATAATGTAGTGTATTGTGTCATATTGTGGCTAGCGTGTTAGCTTGTGGCTAGTGCATTACATCAGAGCTAACGTATTAACTTGTGGATATGACGTTTGATACATTACTGGTTTCTTTGCAGCATATAAACACTCTGAAAGGAAATCTGATGGATCAGGCTAAACTCCACTGTGCCATGTTAAGGTTTCAAGTATTATACTATTATAATGTTGCAAGTTCTAGTACATTGAAAATGGGAACATTTAACATACTAACATTAACAAATTAACATAATTAAAATTTTCAGGCACTCCTTGTTTTTTCTGTCACAAAAACACTTTGAATCAAGACATCACCGTATCATATCTAACCAAATGATGAATTCTGTCAAGCAGTACATCAATAATAGGCATCTCTATTTGGATAAAGAGCATGAATTACAGAACAATATATATATATATTTATATATATATATATATATATATATATATATATATATATATATATATATATATATATAGGATGTACAAAATAGACACACATTTGTTATCTTGTTATCAGAATTTATATTTCCAAATATCAATTAATATTGCCTTCTTAAGCAATTTAATTAGCTAATTTTCTACTGCAGTGCACTCTTTCTGTCACTTGACTGTATGGAAAGGAGAAAATAATGAGAAATGATGGTTGTGCTGCATGTGTAAATGAGCACCGAGGCTGTTTTTACATATTGGTGTACAGATTAAAGCTGAACAGAGTGCAGTTAGTCCAGATTAGGTTTAATCTGAGTGGCAGCGTGTATTCTCTCTGGGCTAAAACGCTCTCAGTGTTATTCTGCTTGGCTGTGCTGTGTATGGGTAAGAAGTGGAAAAATGTAATATTGTTGCGTTTTGCTAAGCTCTAGCTTTGGGTCTGTAGCAGATGTATAAGGTTGTTTTTTCCAGCGGTCTTTGGTTTAATGCTGATTTCTCATGTTCCTAGTGATTTTTGTCTCGTTCTAATTCACGTGACTTTTATTTCCTGTGTAGAAAGCCCCACTTAACACAGATAACCTGCTAAATAATTACAGGTCACTGCTGCACACAATACAAAACACCTGTGCAGGCACATGCTGCAGGCTCAACTGGGCAGGAGGAGTTGCAGTATTTGAGGGTTTTGCACGAAGGGTTGGTCAATGCTTGGCTTTATCCTTAAAGGTATACTCCGGCATTTTTCAAGTCTGATTCGGTATGTATAGCGTACGGTCTAGGGCTGTCCCATATAATCTGAATACTTAAGTATTTGTCTGCTACGTCGGTATTTATTTATCTATTCAGAAACTTATCTTTTTTAAAAGCTTTTTCCTAAAGGAATACTCCAGTGCTACAGTCTAGCACTGGCCCAAATAATCAGAATACTCAAGTATTTGTCCATTGCGTTGGTGTTAACTTCTCTGTTTACTTCTTTTTAATATAAAAAACTACAACATATTTCATTGGCAAACACCTTTAGACAGAACAAAATCAGGCCAGACATTGATGTCACCTCTCCTCACTCCTCAATGGCCATGTAGAAAGCACACTGCTTTCTGCATGGCCATTGAAGCTGAAAGAGTAGATATGCTTGAGAAAACACTTTAAATTATCAGACGATAAAATGCAAAATTTACAGTAATAGGTTTGCATACCATGGAGGCATGACAAGTTTATTTGAGTGATTCCACTTAAAAATGTAAGTATAGTGATCCTTATTCAAGTACCACTTGGTAGGCTACATGTAATACATCACGGCTGATTTCAGTGCATTTTAAAAAGGTAGAATAATGCCTTTTTCCCCTGGGAAGGTGAATGTAGTGTACCTGTAAAACTTAATGAAGATACACAATTGGAGATTAAAAGCATTTTTGTATCTTTGAGGATACATTTACATTGTTTGTACCTTAATGTACCTGAACAATGAACAGTGTACCTAAACGTATTCAGTACATTTTTTGACAGTGTAAGGTTAGGGCTAGGATTAGTATTAGCTTTTGAGTGGAAGATAATGTTAGGATTAGGTTTAGGTTTAGATTTAATAGAATCAGATACATTCAGCTTAAAGTTCAGTTGCATTTCATTGACATTTAGTTGAATGTTAGTTAAAGACAAGCTCCGTGTCTGCGAAGTATCTACTTTGGACCCTCGTACTAAAGTGTTAACTGAAAAAGTCTTGATTCTGCAGATCTCTCATCATATTGTACAGATTAGTCTGTTATTTGAGTGTGGGTGTGCAAGCTTAAGCCCCGCCTTCATCATCCAACATTGCTCTGCTAGGAGGCACCCAGATGCCTAGTTTTGTGCATTGGCAGTGGTTTCAATCAAAGCCGGTTAAAGAGAAATGCTCAGAAGAGAGTGAGAGGCCTATTAGTGCTTAGACGTATGTAGAATGCCCTAAACCCAGTAGTGAGTAGTGTAGAGGTGCGTATAGCACTAAAAGCAATGATTTAATGCATACCCACCTAAAACAAGAAAAAGATATGTCTGTGCTGTGTCTGTGCTTGATTTTGATTTGACCACTGAGAGCAACACTGCTTGTCCAGTCAGAAGTCGTGTCATCGTTCTACGTAGTCAGCAGCCATGTTTAATTTTATGGCTGTATTTTACATCGTCAAAGCAGCAAGACAAAATCCACTGGAAAACATAATGGCTCAGGAAATGTCAGCAGCAGGCACCATATGTCTGTTTGCCATCTCATATCGCTGTTATATTATACATACAACAACTTTTATTCCAAGTTTA